GGGGGGGGGGGGGAGGAACTAACTCCGAATCCAATCGTCCCCCGGTATAAACAGTTTCAAATAACTGTGACTTGGCAGGTTTGTCGCACCATATGAATCATTAAATCATCTTATCTTGTTAGTGAATATCAATTAGAAAATCATGCACAAATAGACATTAACAAGAATCCGGTTTGAGACCTCGGTTTGTTCCATGGTGTTCACCTTCATGCAACCAGAAACACTGAAAAACAACAAGAATTATCGTTCTGGATAGAAATTTTTCACCACACTGCGCCACTGCTGTGTTTAACCAGTTCTCATTTTCAGCTGAGTAACTTATTCTCTCCACGATAGCTCTTTTTAATTTCCCAATCGGGTTTAATGTTGTGGTATAAGGTTAGATGCTACAAGCAGGTGATCAACAGACCAGTACCCTTCAATACTCATTCTTGTCACGGATAGGATAGAGGTTACTTATCCAACCGGAACTAGACAGGCACTACCCCACCGAATGAGTAGCGGTGAATGACGAAGAATGTGATGAATTTTATCTGGTCAGATGTTTTTGTGCCCCCAAAATCACCACGGTTTTGGAATATGCTCAAATCTGGCACAATACTAAATCTGGTCATTGTTATCACCCTTGTGCTCTACAAGTAGCATTTGGCTTGACTTGAGATGTCTTTGACGAAAGATGATTCGGTAAAACTACTGATGTCACTTTGTCCTTGAATTCTAAAACTCCTTAGTTATTCCGCAAAACCAACATATGCAAAGTAGGAACCAGTCGTGAATCTGGTAACATCTTCGCTACTCCGATGTAAATAATGATGATGAAGTGTCTCTGTGGTTCTCATCCATTCACTCTGAGTCATACGTTCGACATTTCCATCGATTCGTAGGAGTACGTGTTCAGTCTGCAACTTGTACCACGATTTTCACATCTGGTGGATTCGATTGATCAATATTCTCACTTTTTGTTCCCCCCTCCATTTCAACTGTGACCCCTGATCCCGTTTTTCTTCGAAATCGCATTGCTTGTCCGGTTCGGTGACCGCTTAGAAAGTGCTCCCAATCATGTCCGACTTTTCCGAGGTGGAAACATGCATCGAGGTCAGTACTTTTATCTTTTATTTTTTTAATACATACCGAAGTGTGATGAACAGCAGACAGGGCGAACCCCGTAGCCACGGGAACCTGCTGTTCAGCGGTGGTAACCGCAACCTAAGCTCGGGGCTTGGAGTGGCGAGCCGCATAAGGCCCAGATAGGTTAGGTGTGGTATTGAACCGGACGACCGAAGTCGGGTGACGGTGTCGGGGTTCGAACCTCGGACCATAGGGTCCAAAGCACGCTTGTGACAGCGACTAAACCACTGTGCCACCACACTACACATATTCATATCCGATTGAATCAGTTTATCGGTTGTTTCTGCGCAATGATATAGCCTATAAGCGAGGATACACATGGTGGTGGCCAAGTGGTTAGGTCACCAACTAGTGACCTGGGTGTCCCGGGTTCAAACCGCTCCACCGCCGCCCATCTTCGCTATATCTGTATTTTCCACAGGCAGCCTTTGTATGGTTGCAGCCTCCTTCCTGAAAGTTGACTGTACATTTATATATTCAATAAAATAGAAGAAGGAAGTAAAAAGACATTTTTTAATTCAAGTATACCCGTTGGTTTATCCTTCTATTTTTCTTGTCCTCAATGTGAGCTGTTTCTAATGCATACGTGACTAGTGTCTCCTCCCCGACCCACCTACTCATCATCTGAATTAGGCACACAACCGATGAATGACTTCCGTTGTGTGTGTGTGTTTGCTTCAATAATCATAGGACCGGTGTATAAGCATCTCCGTGTTGTCTCATTATCTGACACGTGTTAACCATATCTTCACATCATGTGATTGCATAATCTAAACTTATGGAGCCAACCTTCATATCAAGAGAACGGTTTGCCAATCGTTGCATAACCGATCGGGGCCCTATGGCGTTCGCCACTCCGGGTCCCGGGAATTAGGTTGCCGGCTTCCATCGCTGACCATGGGGCGTTCCCCGTCTGCTGTTCATCACACGAGTGTGCAATTAAGAAAAAGATTCAAATTTTCTCTCTGTACTAATAAATACATGTCTCTGTCTGTCTGACGATGTTTTATACGTCGACGGATTTTCTAGTCGACAAATCAACAAAGCCGACGTACTTAACCGTTGCTGTAGTCTGCTGCCCCAGGGTAAAACTGTATCGTTTTCTTGTAGATCTAATATAACTTATCATTCCCCAGTTTCAATTTCATCCTACCTTCACACGATTTATCCAGCTCTCACTGTCGGCTGCGTTTTGAATGGTTTCACTGATGCACATTCATGTTTTAGCCCCCCGTTGTCCACCTTGATAACTGTCTGGGCAGTCACATGAAGCCTACCATTACATTTCTTCAACTTCATTTTTCGTCGCAACCATCTTCCTCCGATATGAGAACACTAATGTGTATATGACAGCAAACAGGTTTGATTTTGCTGCTCGGAACACCCACTCAGGATCCAAACCCATTAATCCGGTTGACGTCTCTCAAACTCTACAGAAGCGGTTCACATTTGCGTTTTTCTGGCGAGTGATGCGTGTCTGGTAAACCAGGCTCTGGTATTGCCTTGAGCGCCAGGGCAGAGGCTGCTCTATGGGAATGGATCCTGGTAGACTTCCAGGTACGACAAGCATCAACCACACAGATGATGCTTATTCCTGGTTTCTGCGATACGCTATCACAGACTGGAAACTTAAACACTCTCTATAGTTGTCTGTTGCCCGATGAGACTCATCTTGGCGATCGTTATAATCTTGACGACTGTCGTTCATATAATGGCGATAGTTTTCGTAGCCTTTGCCCAGAACAGTGTGTTGTTCCTAGTGAGCACAAAATGCAGACTCCCAAAGTTTCACTTAGCCTCCTGATGTAACCCCTCATTGACAAGGAGGTAGAGTTGTTGCTCACATAGTAACCTACTGTAGGTTGTGGGGCTATTTGGTTGACTGTCATTCATGCCGCTCTACTTGTTTGAGAGTTGATCACGTACTGGTTTGTGCCAAGTTGTCTGTGTGATTTGGTTATTTCAAAAAAAGAGATGCTTGCCAGTAGCTTGACGTTGTAAAGCTTTCTGATTCAGCAATACTAGTCCTCTATCAAAACGGGTTCGTCCAAGGCTAATCAGTACTCCACCAACAAATGTGGAATAACATCGGGCAACCATCCAAAGTGCGCTACATTCAGCCAGTTTACACTGTAGCCTACCCCGCCGAGCCACTGGGTTTCACTGACTCTCAAACTTCTTGAAGCGCTTCACTCGATCCCTGTGGGTGTTCATTAGAACAGGGCCTCTCTTTGAAGCGCTAACTCGCAAAGATTTTAAGAGATGACCGGGAATTCTGATGAACTCTTCATGCAAAAGTGACAGGATCAGCTACCACATCTGAGGGATGAGATATTCACCCTCCGTCAGCTGCTGGAACACCGCCACATACATCGACGCAAGTATATAACCCATTTGACGACTGTGTAGCTGTTCAGGATGTTTCAGTCTATCTGTACGCGATGTAACACAACCTATCTTTGCAAGCTTGTTACGGGTATTTCACTTCGCTCATTTCATATCTCGGTCGGATACATTCCGAACTTCATTTTACTGGAATGTAATCTCATTTGAGTCCCAGTAAATCACAAAAACACTGCTGAATAGCCTAGACCGGAATAATCCAGTTTTGAATGTTATTGATTAAGCACTCTTATGCTAGCTGTGAATATGCGAATAATCCTTCCGGAAGCAGGCCCAGTGGATGAGTGAATGAGTAAGCATCTCGATCTGTTCACCATTACGCCGTGTGTATTCCGTTTCTCAACNTCTCAACAAACAGCTCCATAGTGCGGTTCTGTCGATGAAATCGAAAGCCACGCGGATGTCCCAAAACACAATAGTCATTGATCTTTGGTAAACATAAGGATACTTTTGGAGCTATCGGAATGTCCAAATTTGATTGATGCAAAATCCAGCCTGCTCCCCAAACGTCCGTACCTGTAGAGAAGAATCGAATGGGCTTACACTGAGCTCTGGAGTCGGACAAGATTGTTCCTTGCCGCCGATATTCTTCAATCTTATCGTAGATTAGATAATGGAACAAGCATGCATCAAAGTGCGACTTAGCCCAGATACATGGATCGCTGCGGGTGAATTGGCAGCCCGCATACAGATTTATCGATTGCCATTTGCCAACTTGAGATATCTGTAGCGCCGTCCCGAAATCTGGCTGTTTACGAAGGGTCAAATGTATGCTGCGGAAGTTCTGGGATACAGCACAGAAAGCTGATTATCGCAGGAACGGGGTACGGATAGACTGTCGGTGTTTGAACATCGCTGTCTACGCAGTATTGCACGAATCTGGTGGGGACAACCGGACGAGCAGTACTGTAATTAAGCTTAAAGTTTTAAATAACCGCGGTCGCCCACTGGTACATCTGGTTGACCTACATAGTTTAGGCCATGTGTCACCATGTCACCATTCATCATTTGTTTTGCAACCTAACCAATCGTGGCCTATAACTATTCATTTGGCCAACTTGATCTGTTACTGATTCGCTGGGAATCAACACCTTTAATTCAAGCGTCTGATGTTTGTACTGGCCAGTATTATCCTGTTGTCAGGATATAGAGCCGAAAGTCGTTTATCGTTTTCCGAAGGACAGAAATATATCCTATATGAACCTTGTCTTAAAACAGTCAACTCACTCTCGTATTCGTATTTCTTACTGAAATCGCGATCCCAGCCGGACTTGCCATATGCCAAACGCTCCCTAGTTTTTAGTGAAAGATATTTTAAATTTACTCAGGATAATAGCTGGGGATGCGTAAACCGAAATGGGGAACAGCGGTTGTTTAGTTTCCACGAATCTCTGATTCTCACCATGGTGGTCCTTGATTATGCTGTAATACGTCGTGTACAGCAGTCTGCTTCCCAAAAGAATACTATGTCACTATTCCTTCTGTTTGTCAAAACTTATGGGAGTGCCAACGCATAGATTACAGTCATTCGATTCAGTACGCATCTTGGTCAACCACTGGGTTTTTTCGTCATAGCCATTTCACTGAAACCTGACCCTAATGTGCTCTCTCCCCGTCACACAAGGATTGCGTTTTTTTTGGTTTGTATCAGTCTCGTTTCCGTTCGTGATTTCTTGTAATTCACCGGTAAATAATTGTATATGCAGACTGACCATCTGCCACTTTTCTCAGCCCCGTATTTCCGTTGTCTTCATTCTAAAAGAAACACCAAAACATCTCTTATTGTTCGTTCTAGTGTTCCGCAAAAACCCTGCTCAATCTGAGTGAAACATTTTGGTTTGCTCAAAAAGCGGTTCTCTATCCGACCGCACCATTGTACGACGCCGAACGGAAGGAGGTGAGCATTTCAACCTTGTCTAGGTGATCTAATGTGAGATTCAACTTTGCAGTTAATTCCCTATAAGCTGTCACTATTTCGGAGCTCGATCCATCTGTTGTGACTTTCGTTTCCCGCAGTTCGGCCTCCACCTGTTTTTTTGGCTCGTGACAAGCCAGCTATTTTTACAGTTTGACAGGTTTTTTGGGTATGCGTGTATATAATATTATATTTCACACCAGTCTGAGGTCAGATTGTTTGCCAAATAAATCATGATACAATAATCTTTATTAAAAGAAAAACGTTCCATGATTGGCTTGTGGGCTGAATACTGCCAGATAGCCCAGGCCAAGGCAGGTGAAATTTCTTGAGGAATCCACAACAAGAGCCTTCGGTTAGCCAAAGCCTGATCCGTAAGGCAGCGGGGCGGTGTGTGAAGACCGCAGTCCATTGGGAGCCGGTGTCCCATTCATTGGATCATACGCCCTTTGGACGGTGTCAAACGTCCAAGCGGCTCGATACCCAATCGAGCCGGTGATCACTGCCACAACCGAGAGGGTGTGTTTGCGGTTCGTACGCCTCCTCTTGGTTGGTTTGGAATCAAGGTTTTTGGCCAACTCCCCTAGGTGAACTACCAGTGGTCCACAAACCCGGTTATAGTCCTGGATGTCGGCTTGTTATTATCATCTTTTGGCGAAGTTCATCTGACCGGCTGCATGTGTAGATCATAAATGGTCCGTGCGGAGTGTTGCTGTCCACATATGTTGGCACATTTCACTCGTGTGGCCTCATCATGAGCACCATGCTTGAAAGTGCTACTAGTACTCTGCATAAAATTCTGAAGGTCTTCTAAATGACGGAAGTCATTACACACGCACACATCAATATGAAAGTATGCACGAGCATATCAATTCTGCTTACCTGTTAATTGACAGCTAAACTAATGTATGTATGACATTAGTTTCCTATTCTGACTTGCATTACCGGTTGCGTTTTCTTCTATATTTGTCTCTGCGCTTGTAAGAACTGAACTGAACCCTCCATGAAGTTCATTTTGTTACGATTGCAGTCAATATAGTGCTTGTTGTTTGTCTCGACAATCGGCTATTTTACCGAAACATTCATGTTTGCGTTCCCGAATCAACTGCTGTGGTTACTGATCACCCGGCAAACACCTTTTCAAGCATTGTGGCGTCATAAAAAATGACAACAAAAACACTTCTACTGTCGACTCGTGGCTGTATCCTTGGATTTCTTCAACGAACCAGTTACACAGTCTTTTAAATGCTAACTTGGAAGGCGGATGACACCTACTCTACCTAATCGTTTTGTGCATTTATTCATAATCGTCTCTACGTTATCTATTGACCTCCCTATGGGTTTCTCCAATCCGGAGTCGTCTCGTCAAACGCAATATTTCAAATTGAACAGACGATATCCTGAACCAACGAAAAGTCCGACCACGTAATTCTCATTCATCACGTGGAAAATTTTCTGTGTACACACACACACATTCGTTTTAAAACATGACACATTAGGAATTAAAAAACATCTTGGAACGTTTCTAATTTCAACATTTTCACACCCATTTCTTCCATAACATCCAACTAGTATTGAATGTTGTGAATATCCTATCCCATTCTCACATGTATACAATCGTCCGTTTCCCGTACAGCTCACTCCAGCTTGTGTCCGTGCCTTGATTCGGGTCTTTCGAATCTGTGATACCGATAATGACGGCTACTTATCCGATCGAGAACTGGAAGCGTTCCAATCTCGCTGTTTTTCCGTGCCATTAACTACGCAGTCACTGCAGGACGTAAAACAGCTCGTTCGTCAATCGTGTCCCGGTGGTGTCACTCTGAATGGAATCACTCAGAAAGGCAAGTTGTTCAAGATGCGTTGTGTGTGTGTGTGTGTGTGTGCATTTGTTCTGGATGGTTAGGATAAGAGGTTCTCGCGTTGCTGACCCTCTGTATCAATTAACTGTTCATTGCAAATTGGGTTGCGATCCTGTCCAGGTTTAGTCTTAAAGGAGGCTGTTGGTTTGTTTTCCGACAGCTGATCAAATCCTCCAGGTTACCATTTCAAAGGGATTGTCCGCATCAGTGAAACATTTGAGAATCTTGGGCAGCGCTAGTCACTATTCACAAGTGACTTCAGTGCCATGGGGATCAATAATGACACACAGTCTCATCAAAGTGTTGTTGTTAATGGACTACGGTACTGCCTTGAACCACATTTCTCCTATGCGAATCAGAAATTGAGAACATGCAAGAACGTTAGCGTTTGAGACACCCAGCCATATCACTCAGTGTCCCTAACCATCGGGTACGACCATCCCGAGGTCCCCAGCCAGGGAGCCTAACGAGGCCTATGTGACACAGTCTCCTGGTTAGGGTTTTCATACCCTCGTGCCAGGTCTTAGTTTGACCACTCCTCATCTTCGTCTAACCGCTCCTGTCTCAGAAAACATCGATCGTCGTGGCAACCTGTCTGGTGACATGGGTAACACATGCCTCAAACAACGTAATCTATGAAGGTCGATCACTTGCTCCAGTGGACGACGGCGACTGCCTAAAACTATACACCTAACCTCAGCATTGCTCATCCGGCTGCCCCACCAGATTCGTGCAATGCGACGTGGACAACGGTGTTCAAACACTGACAGTTCATTTTTATCCTGTTTTCTTAATGGCCAAGTTCCCTCTCCATATAGCAGAACTGGCCGAACTGCTGCAGAATACACTCGACCCTTAACAGACAGTCGGATGTCGCGACGACGCCACAAATGTCTCAATTCGGCAAATGCCAACCGAGCCTTCTGTTTGCGAGCTGACACTTCATCCGTAATGCGTCGACCGGGTGAGATGTAGCTGTCCAAGTAACAAAACTTATCCACCCGCTCTATTACTTTCCCAGTTAGAGTGAGACTCAGTGCTGGACCAACCCAGTCTTGTAGTAACATTTTGCACTTTGAAGGTGCAAAACGCATACAGAACAGGGCCACACTGGCATTCAAACTATCCAGAAAAGCTTGTAACTTACCTGGATCTTACCTCAGTAGCACAATGTCATCTGCATACTATAGATCAGACAGCCTGCCACCTGGGAGTAAATCGGTGCCACTTTCCTCGCACGAGGATCGGGCTGTTTCCATAATCAGATCTATAACAAAGTTAAATAGAAAAGGAGAGAGAGCAACCCTGTCGAACACCACTTTCTGTGGTGAACTCGGGCGAAAAAGTGCCGTAAGTCCGGACTCGACTTCGGCTATGAGTATAAAGCGATCGTAATATTGAAATAAATTTTTCGAACACAACCTTCAGGGAAAGGTAGTACCAGAGGTTAGAGTGGTCGATTGAGTCGAAAGTCGCTTTAAGATCCAGGAAGATAGAGATGGTGGGTCTACGAAAGGAATGTCGATGCTCCAGAATTTGGCGGAGTGAATATGTGGTCGCTACAACCTCAACCTGGCCTGAAACCAGCCTGGTTCCTACACATGCGGAAGACAATCGACGGAGTATAACACCAGCGAGAGATTTAGAGGCAACGCTGAGTAAACTAATCCCCCTGTGATTTTCTCAAGAGGATCTATCACCTTCCTTGTAAATCGGTATGATGACCGATCCACACCAATCAGCTGGAACCTCTTCCCTCTTCCACAATGAGCCCAGGAGTTTTGTTAACTCCAAAACCAAGGCTGAACCTCCATCCTTAAAAACCGATGGGGGATAGTCCGTCGGGCTGAAGCCTTATGCTTTTTGAGATAACTTATTTCCCGGGAAACCTCCATTTCAGATGGAGGACTGGCAGAATTTGCGCAGTCGCCGTGGAGGGTGATAGTTCAGATGTCCAAGGGGACCAGTTGAACTGAGCCTCGAAATGTTCAGCCCATCGATCAAGACAGCGTTGTTGAGCGTGAATCAGTGTGCCATCGTATTCTTTAATTACCTCACTTACGCTTATTTTCCTAGGACCCGTATTCTTAATTAGACGGAAAAGATTGCGACTATTGCCGATATCCGCAGCCTTCTCCATCTCTCTACACTTCTCTACCCACCACTACTTGCGGTCATTCCTCAGACTCTTGACGAGCTGGCGTTTAAGGGATTTGCGCGTTGTGTCAAGTGTGGCATTCTGAGACAGGGTTCTGCGGGCTTCCAGCAGAGCAGCCGAGGTCGATGAGATCCACAGTTTGTGTTTTGAACCTGCGTGAGGGTTTGACGTTGTTTTTATTGATATTTGCATAGCCTCCTTGATTTGCTTCCAGTGTTCATTGAGTCCTTCGACTGGTGGTTGAACTGACAGGCGATCGGAGAGTTCCGCTTTGAAGGCCGATTGGCAACAGTCGCTGACGTTGTATCGTAGGTATCCGTTTTCTGTGGCTTTATCACGGTTGTTTGACAGGCGTAGGGAGAATTTGGCTCGTAACAAGGCGTGGTCTGTATCCACAGCTGTCGACCAGTAAGAGCGGTAGTCTTGAATTGATCCCCTCCAGCGGTAACTGACAGCGTTGTGGTCGATTTTGGGTCCAGCGCTGTGAAGAGGTTGGCGGTTCCCGTGTAAGACGGTGACGGTTTTATGGATGAATAACATCTGGATGACTAACCGCTCAGTACAGTGCATTAGGAGTCAGTTTGTTCATCACCAAAGACACTAGGGGTACAATAAATTTTATAAATTCAGTGGTTCGTCTGAATATAATATTTCAAAAAGGTCTTTTCCAGATAACGCTTCCAGTGGGTGTGACGATTTGAAAGGGAATGAGACAGAACAGCAATGAAACAGTGTAAGAATTCGTTTACGGTAAGAATAGCATGCTCAGTCATAAACAAATTGCAAGATATGGGAATGAATACAAACAAAGGTTGGTTCAGCGGATTGTTGTCAGTCATCTGGATTGACTGTAAGTCTTGGTCTGAGCTGGATTATCCATGTTCGAATTATTTTCCCCCGAAAAAAGCAGTTTTCTGGGAGTACGGCAATTGGGAACTATTGAGGGATTTGAAATTAAATTAGTGTAATCATATTCGGAAATGCAGGCCATCGGTAGCGATAACACAGAGTTAACTTCTTTCGTATAAAGCCTTCTATCGTCTCAATATGGTCGGGGATAAGGTTGCCGTAAGTGTATTTCACTGTCCTGAACTACTCTCAAAATACTATACGACAATGTGTTTCAAACATTATGCCTGGAATGTGTTCCTTTGATTGCCTCTTTATAAACATGGCATTTTCAGTAAGACACGAGAGCGAGAGTCGAATCTCTGGGGCCGTCAACGAGGTCACTGTTTAACTGGTTCCTATACCGCATTTTGTGAGCTTGCTTCAAATCACCTACTCCCTGGGTGGTGTATGTGAGGCACTGTGAATGATTCAGTCGGGTTGGAATGGCGCGTGATCTGAACAATTAAAATCCTTATGTTGCACAATCGAAAGAGCGGATTAGGCCACATCGTAAAAGATTCATATTGAGGTCACTCCTTCAGTTAAGCATCAACTCTGGTTTGGGCTACTGAAATGTATAACAATCCATGACACTGAAACTCTCATCAAAACAGT